ACTCGAGGACCAGCCCCAGCTTTTACAAGGGAGAATTTTGATGCACTCCAGAAAGAAATGGAGGCAATGCGTACCTAGATGCGCACTATGGAAGAGATGTACAACGAGATGGTGTAAGCCGCAGGCGCTGGGTTTCGATCTGAGGACCAAGCGGTACGCGACGAGGTACACGGGCACAGAAGTCATCACCTCAATCCAGTCGAGGAAGAGCGCCCTGGAGGAGATGACGATGAAAAGTACACTCATCAAAGAGGCGATCTCCGCGAGCATCTCAACAGAAAGAGAAGCTCATTCCTCCGAAAGGGTCGGTCTCCGTCCTGCTTGCACAAGAACTCCAACCAGCAGGCCGAGTCCTCCTATAACCCCATAACTCCTGAGGGAGTGATTACAAGGGAGGAGTTCGACCAGCTAAAGAGCAAGTTGGATGCTCAGGTAGAAGCCTTGAAGGCTAAGTGCGAGCGAAAAGAGAGCCCGTTCGATGATGACGACTTGGTAGAATCACCATTCACCTCGGACATCTTGGAGGCTCCAATCCCTCCGAAGTTCAAAACTCCCACTATGAAGCCTTATGATGGGTCTAAGGACCCAAAAGACAATATTGAAGTCTTCGAAGGCCTCATGGATTTTCAGGCGGCAACAGATGCAATCAAATGCCGCGCCTTCCAGATCGCGCTCACCGGCAGCGCGCGCCTGTGGTATCGAAGATTACCAGCTAGGTCGATTTCGACCTACTCCAAACTCAGGAAAGAATTCATTAGTCAATTCTCTTCTCGGCACTATGACAGGAAAACAGCGACTCACCTCGCCATGTGCTAAGTCAGTGTTTACCCTTTTGTGTAGGTCCACTATTGAGTTCAGGTCGAGCCAGGGATCGGGTTCGAGCTTGGTTGGTAAAACAGCGTTGTGCAATCCCTTGCATAAACAACCTCTTATAAATAGAACCATTTTGTTAAGGTTGAATTTGTACAGAATCCAAATAAGAGAGACTTAAGTGGTTATGGACAGTGTGTGAAAAAAGAAGTTTGTATCCTGTGGGTTTTAGTGAGGGTATTTTCAATTGTGTCATCCTAGGTATCCATTGTTAGGCTACTTAGAAGCAAGATAGTAATATGTTGAGTGAGATCTCCATTGTAATATTCCCAACTATAGTTGAACCTGTTTTTTCGCAGAAGACTGGACGTAGTCTCAAGATAGCGGTGAACCAGTGTAATCCTTGTGGTGTTAAGCTTTTATATCCCTATCTCTTATTCTTTTGTTATTGTTACTTACTGATATGCTTTTAGCCTGTGGAAGGGGAAAATCAAATAGTTCTTGTTTGAAGAACTTACAGGAGGATCGATTGATCTATATTTTTTTCCCCAACACTCTTTCACCTGAAATGATTTTTCTTTTGTTTTTTTGAGCGATCTGTTAATCCTCGACTCATGAGCTTGAAGAGACCCCATTAGTTCATCAAATGTAAAAATGACAAATCCTTTGATTCTTCTATGGCAGCTACTACATGATCAAATTTTGGAGTCAAACTTCTAAGTACCTTTTCAACAATGGTCCGGTCGGTAATCGTCTCGTCGTAGGACCGCATTTGAAAGAATATTAGCGGAGCTTCAACAG